CAGGAAGTGCCCGGGCCTCGTGTGGGGGTGGGGGTGGGGCCTGAGCTGGGACCGGGCCTCCCCTCCACCGGGCGGGGCTCAGCCCGGATGCAGCGTCTCAGCGGCCCACAAGCACGCACACGTATGTGCATGCCTGCGTGGCACACATGAGCGCAGCACGAGGTTCACACATGTATACCCATGAGCGTGTGTACACACAGGCATGCCCCTGCTACCCCTCCCGAGGCTGTCCTGAGGCACAGCTCCCTCCATGTTCATCTGAGTAGCGTGGGAAGGGTCACGTGTCCACGCCAGGCCACTCCCCTGAGGTCAGAGTTCAGGCACGGGGTTCAGGCGGTGACCTCGGGTGCCCCGGGGGTGCCCAAGTGAGGACGCATACAGCCGCACCCCTGCTCCAGCAAGAGCGCCCCATGCAGCCCCCTGTGCCAGCTCAGGGCTGGGGGAGGACAGCGGTGCAGGGGCCTCGGAAGGGCCCAGTGGGGGCCGAGCAGGGGCGGACACTGTGCAGGTTCCTGGGGGTCCCGGGCAGGGCTGCGGTCGGCACACCGGTGGGGGGAGCTGGGCCTCAGCTGCCGTGAACCCGAGCTTGCGTGCGTGTGTGAGCCGCGGAGCAGACCTCACAGGAAGCGCCGGAGCACCGACGTCTTCCCCCAGCCACGCCCCCTGGGAACCCGTTCGCTCTTTGGGCATCTGAGGGGGGCAGAGGGCAGGGGCCTGGCCCCCAGCAGGCCCAGCTGCGGACCCGGACCCCTGCGCCACCTGCTGGGGTTCACCGAGGGGGCTTCTCAGGGCTGGGGCAGAGCAAGCGACCACGGCTGCCCAGGTGGCGCAGGGGTCCTGCTGGCGTCTGCGCCGCAGGTGGAGAGCAAGGCTGGGCAAGGGCGGGGTGGGCCTCCCTCTGGGGTCACCGTCCATGGTGGACCCCACCTTGGGGGCTCTCAGGACCCTGGGCTCCCTGGGGCATCTGTCCCTCCATCACTGGGTTAGGAGGTGGCACTGCCGGCACACGGGGGTGGGGGAAGGCCCTGGGGGGAGGGTGGTTCAGGTATCTGGACGGAGTCGAGGAGGGAGAGAAGAGCAGCTATAAATGGCCCAGGAACAGGTGAGCCAGGAAGGCCGGTTCCTGTGCTCCCCGGCAGCCTGGTGCCAGTGCCGGTCTCTCAGACCTTACCTTTCTCGTCCATACAACGGGGAAGCCGCTGCCCTCTACTCGGCCTGGCAGGCTCTGTGACACACACACACACACACACACACACACACACACACACACACACCGGCTTCCTCCCAGACACACGGCCCCACCTGCCGGCCCTGGCACACAGATGGCAGCAGCACGGGGTGGCCGTGGGGGCGTCGGCTCACAGACTGCCCTGCCTGGCCCCCAGTATCACAAAACGACCACACCAGAGGGGCCTGGCCAGCCACGTGGAGCTGCAGGGGGAGGAAGGTGGCCGGCTGCGTGCCCGGGACTCCCCTTTGAGAAACTTCCCACAGCCACGGCCCAGGGTCCCCACCGTGGAGCTGAGATCCCTGGGGGGCAGCCCTGGGGGCCCTCACCGGCCAGACAGGGCCACTCTCCCCCGGCTTCTGGCCAGCTCCAAGGTCTGCGCCCGTCGGTGCCGGGGTGCGGGTTGGCGGAGGAGGCGGGGGTAAAAGGCCAGGGAGGCCGCCCGGAATCTGGGGTTCCCGACTCCGGCCCCCAACTGCGCCTTTCAATCCTCAGCGAGTGGGCGGCCCCGCCCGAGGGGTCACTGCGTGACTGCGGCGCGCGTGCCAGCGAAGTCCGGTGGGGAGGACACCCGCGGCCACGCGCCCCCGCCCGCCCGCGCACCTGTCCTGGGCGTGGCGCCCGCGGCTCCGCCCCGCGCGCGCCGGGTGCTGGTTGGCGGAGGCCGCGCGCTATGCTAATGAGCCTGACCCTGCCCGCACCTGCCCGGCCGGCGCTGCCCGAGGGCGCCGGAGGCCTCGCAGTCGGGACCCGCGCCCAGGAGGGGACCATGCCGCGCTCCTTCCTGGTGAGAACGCACTCGGGCCACAGGGTCCCCAACTACGGGCAGCTGGAGATGCAGAGAGGTAGGGGCTGCCCGGCGTCCCGGGCCCCGGCCCAGAGCTGACCCTGCGGGGCCGGCAGGGGGTCCTAGGTGGGCGGAGAAGGCGCTGGCTCGCTAGCTCCAGGGAGCCCGACCCAGCCTCGGGGTCGGAGGGAGGGGAGTGACCCTGGACTGGCTCTCTGCCTCAGGGGGCTTAGCCCTGCGCGGGAGGGGGGGCTGAGAAGTTGCCAGTCCCCAGGGATTTGCTGCCCACCCCCACCGTGACTGCCCAGTTGAGGGGGTCCGCTGGTCGTGGGCCCCAGCCACAGGTATGGGAGTGGTCCCCCAGAGCGGTGGTGCAGAAGGAAGGGTGAGGGGCTACCGCTGGGCAGAGCCCCACACACGCACCGCCAAACATCGTGGCTGGGAGTGGAGAGCACAGGGACCCCAGAGCAGGGCCTGGGCTGGCTCTGAGCAAAGGCCTGGCTCGTCCTGCGTCCGTGGGGCCTCCGGGCCTCCCTCTCCCGCCTCCCCGGCCCTGGAAGCCCGCTGGCTGCAGTGGGGAGACCCCACCCAGCAACATCGGTGCACAGGCACCCTGCCCCGCAGAGGGAAGCCCGCCCACCCCCTGTCAGTGCTGCCCCCACCTGGCTCCGCAGCTGCCTGGGATGCAGACCCCCCCGGCCAGCAGCCCTTGGTGCCTCTGGAAGGGGGAAGGAGAGCCCAGCCCACGACCCTCACTCCCACCCGAGCCAACCCCACCTGGATCAGCGTGGTGCCCAAAGCTGCCACAAGGTGGCGCCGTGGAGGCCGTGCCTTTCAAATGTGCGTTTCGAAATCAATTTTGGGTAAGATAAAGCAGAGCCCAAAGCAGGAGAGGGTGCTCAGGCCGCAGGGCGCTGGGGTTCGTCCACACAGGTGTGTGGCCACACAGACTCACACGGCCACAGCCCCACCGCTGAGTCCCTCCAGCGCGCCCCCCTCGCCCTGGCATGGGTGGGCGGCTGCGGGCAGAGTCCTGCTCCCTCCTGTCTCCCTCTTCCAAAACCAGGATGGCCCCGCCCCTGGCCTGCCCCGGGGCGGCTCCTGTCGCAGGCAGGGTCTCCTCCAGACCAAGGTCCAGGTCCTGCTGGGTTTCACAGATGCACTTGACACAAGGTGACCTCCCCGGGAGAGGCTGGCTGGGGGCGGGAGCAGGGGCACCCACTCCTCTGCCCAGGCCTTGTTCTTACCCCTACTGGGAGCACAGAAACCTGATGTGCCGAGTTTAAAAAAAGTAATTAGTTTGAAAGGCAGGATGATGGAGGAGAGTGAGCTGCCATCTGCTGGTTCACTCCCCAAATGCCCCCAGCAGCTGGAGCTGGGCCAGGCTGGAGCCAGGAACTCCGTCCGGTTCCCCACGTGGGTGGCAGGGGCCCAGCTGCACCGGCAGGGACCTGCATTAGAAGTGGAAGAGCTGGGGCCGGCGCCGTGGCTCACTGGGCTAATCCTCCACCTGCGGCGCCGGCACCCCGGGTTCTAGTCCCGCTCGGGGCACTGGATTCTGTCCCGGTTGCCCCTCTTCCAGGCCAGCTCTCTGCTGTGGCCTGGGAGTGCAGTGGAGGATGGCCCAAGTGCTTGGGCCCTGCACCCCATGGGAGACCAGGAGAAGCACCCGGCTCCTGGCTTTGGATCGGCACAGCGCCAGCGCCAGCCGTAGTGGCCGTTTTGGGGGTGAACCAATGGAAGGAAGACCTCTCTCTGTGTCTCTCTCTTTCTCTCTGTCTCTCTCTCTCTGTTTAAAAAATTAAAAAAAAAAGTTAAAGAAGTGGAGGAGCTGGGTCCCAAACCGGCCCTCGCGTGGACACACGGTGTGGGAGGCAGCCCAGCCGGCTGTGCCCCAGCGCCCACCTATTTGGTGTGGACTTTATGCTGGGGGGGAGGGGAGGGGAGCAGGGCTGGAGCGTGGGACCCCCTGCCCCATCCTCGCCAACACTCGCCGGCGGCGCTTCCTCCCGGTGGGCGTGCCGAGGCGTTGGCCAAGGCTGATGATGAGTGAGGATGAGTGAGTGGGGCGTCTGCGGGAAAGGACCACGCACGTCCCTGCCCGCGACTCGGCCGTCGCCCTTGCCTCTGGCTGTGGAGGGGCGGGCGGTCGAGGTCCAGGTCAGCCTCGGCCTGGGGCAGCCCTGCACGGCGGGGGGCGGGGCTGAGACTCGCGGCAGCACACGTGAAGAGGAGACGTAACTCTTCCTGCAAACCAGCTTGCTTCCTGGGGTTCCCGCCGTGGCCTGCACCAGGACCACAGGCGCAGTGCCGGAGGGGAGGGTCCGCCCGGGGCTGCGGGAGGGGAGCCGGGGCCCCAGCCCCACCGCAGCGGAGCCGGCGGCCACGGCAGCGTGCCCAGGAGACGCTACGGGGTGACAGGGCGGTGACTGCAGGCTCATTAGTTACAGGGGCGAGTGTTACGGGTGGCGCCTGCCTGCCAAGTGCTCTGACCCCAGGTGCGTGGGGGCCCAGGAGCGCTGCCCCAGGAGGGCCGTGTCACGTGACCGGAACTGGGGCACCCCGGGACGTGGACCCTGCGTCCCACGGCTACCCGGGAGCACCCTGCAGGAGGATGGGGTCGGACAGGCCGCAGGGGCCCGGCCCGTCATCACCCTGTGCCCTCTCTCCCCTTCACCTTCCAGAAGCCAGCGGCGCCTGCTCAGCCTGTGGGGGGCTGGTGGAGTCGCCCCTCCCGCCCGCCGAGGACGCCCCTCGCACGCCTGCTGACTCTCCTGTGCCCTGGCCCTGCACCGCTGCCCTGGCCTGCCTCGCCCTGCCCCGCGGGCTGCACCACCACGGAGCTCCGGAGGCCTCCGGGCCAGACTCGCTGGAGACCGGCAGGGTGGACCCTCGGCCCAGCCGGGCCCCCGGTGTGCCCCTCAAAGACAGCCTGAACCACCTCAACCTGCCCCCTGCGCTGGCGCTGCCCACGCGCTGGCCCCCGATCCTGGGCCCCGGCGGGGACGGGGCTCCTGGCAGACGGCTCGGGGCGGACGGGGTGGCCCGCGCCCCCGGGGCCCTGGAGTGTGTCCACTGCCGCAGGCCCTACCACACGCTGGCCGGGCTGGCCAGGCACCAGCAGCTGCACTGCCCCCTGCAGGCCGGACGCACCTTCACCTGCAGGTTCTGCGGCAAGCCCTACGGCAGCCTGGGCGCGCTCAAGATGCACCTGCGCACGCACACGCTGCCATGCGCCTGCGCAGTGTGCGGCAAGGCCTTCTCCCGGCCCTGGCTGCTGCAGGGCCACCTCCGCACCCACACGGGTAGGGCCCGCGGGCAGGGGCCGGGCGGGGGGCCCTGGGGGCTGCGCACCCTTTGAAGCCCCAGGGGAGGACGCCGCCTGCCCCTCCCGGCTCCTGAGGCTCGCCCGGGGCTTGCCCCCACCCCGGGGCGGCTGTGTTCATCAGGACCCCCGTGTGAGGCGTGTGGGGTCAGGGCTCTGCTCACGGCCCCGTCCTCGTGGTGCCGGCAGAGGAGGCACAGCCGCAGGCGCTGGGCCACGGGCATCGCTGGGGTGGGGGGCAGGCCCGGAGCGCTGTGTGCCCTCTGAGGTCTCACGGCCGCGATCCCGGGGGCGGTGTGGCCCTGGCCAAAGGCAGGGCCTCTGGGTTTGGGAACGCCGGAGCAGCCTGCCCAGGCTGGGGGTGGCAGGTGGGGCAGACGAAGGGGCAGGGTAATGGCACGGCTAACACGGTGGGCTGCATGGCGACCCTGCCCGCCGCCCTCCGGAGGGTGGGGCTGGGGGCAGCTATGCCTCTGGCGAGGACCCCATGGTTCCTGCCTCTCGGCCCCAGTGGCCGGGAAGAGCTGCCGGGGTCCCGAGCCGAGGGCCCCAGGACGGCTGTGGCTGCGGGCGGAGCGTGGGCGAGGGGGTGCCGCACCACTCCAGCTGCCCGCCTTCCTCCCAGGTGAGAAGCCCTACGCCTGCTCTCAGTGTAGCAGGGCCTTCGCCGACCGCTCCAACCTGCGCGCCCACCTGCAGACACACTCGGACACCAAGAGGTACCGCTGCCGCGGCTGCGCCAAGGCCTTCTCCCGCATGTCCCTCCTGACCCGGCACGAGGAGGCCGGCTGCCGCGCCGGGCCCTGAGCCGCACAGGTAGGAGGGGCGGGGCCTGACGCCGCCAGCCCCAGCCCAGGGGCACGACCCCTGAGCCCCGCGGAGACCCTGTCTCCCACCGGCCCGCCCAGGGCTCAGCCACGGGACACGGGACACGGTCCCAGCACCTCCTGCCGGGGCACTGGCACGCGGGGCTGCCCCAGTCAGCCAGGCACCTGGAAAACAGGTCCCCGCGGGACACAGCGACGGCCACCTGCACGGCCTGTGCACACGCATGTCCTCCCTCCTCCCCGGACTGCTCCTGGCTGGGGCAGGGCCAGCAGCGGGTTTGGGCCTCGGGGTCCCACGAGCTCCCAGGAAACACGGTGGGTGATAAAGCCCCCGCCCAGTCCCCGGGTCTGTGGAGCAGTGAACTCCGAGAATTCTCCAACTCAGGGTGACTCGAGCAGGCTGGGCTGCAGCGAGGAGACGGGGCCAGAGCGCCACGGATGCAGCCACCGGGAAGAGCCGGGGGTGGGGGCGTGTGGCCAGGGCAGGCGGCTCAGTCCCCGGCGTGAGGGGCCATGGAAGGAGGGCTCTGCCCGTGACCTGGCCATTTAGCCACGTGCCCAGCCTCTGTGCATGGGAGCCACCTGTAGCTTTTCTTCCTACAAGCCATGGGCGTCTAAACGGGATTAAGCGTCCCTGACCTTGGCCTGCCCTGTCCCAGGCCTCGGTGTCCCCACCGACCCAGCGCCCTGCCCTCACTGCCCAGCTCCGGGGCCTCTCCAGGCAGCCAGCAGCCGGCTGGGCCTCCCACTCCCAGGAAGTCACAGGCCTTGGGCTCGACCCGGAGGGTGACATCCAGGATGGCGAGGGGCTGAGCCCTGTAGCCCTGGCCAAGGAGGGTGGTGGTGGCAGGTTCCCCAAAGGGACACCTGCTCCTCTCTCCAGAGGGCTGGCTGCCGGCTGCCGTCCGCAGCTCCACCTTGGCCCTGGCCCAGGGTTCCCCGCCCTCGCCTGCGCCCCTTGGGGCCCACGCAGTCCCAGGACGCTGGGGAGAGTTCCCTGGGGCCACACAGTGCCTGGCTCCCCGGGCAGGCTCGGCCTAGGGTGCTCTTAATTAAACAGCTCGCCCCTCAGGGGCTCAAAAGGGAGACCCCTCCCCAGGGAGGCATGGCCAGGCTGTGCCCCTCTCCTACCTGGGAGGCCACAGCCCAGAAGCCCTCCCCTGCCAGTCACCCTGGGCGAGGGCCACCTGCAAGGACCTCTGTCCAAGTGAGGCTACCTTCTGAGGTTCTGGAGGCTGGGGTCGGGGGCACCAGTCACCCCAGCGGCCGCCGAGAACAAGAGGTCTGCCCGGCACTGCCTGCCAGGCCTGGACTGGCCGCAGGGCAGCGGGTGTGGCTGGTGGGTCACCGGGAGCCGCCTCTCCCACCGTCCTGCTCCCCTGGTCGGGTCACAGGTGGGGAGGGGTCGGCACCTGGGCCCAGCCCCCACGGCTCACTGTTCCCCTGCAGGTTCCCGCCGGGCCTGGGGCTCCTGCCAGCGGCTTTGGCTTGGGATTTCTGACAGCATCAGGTGCCTTCGGAAGCTGCATTGTAAATTGCGTTCTATTCCTGGATGCCGGCGCTAAATGGGGCAGCTGCACCTGTCGGGCGTGGGGAAGGGAGTCTCACAGGCCTGAAATAACACGGAATGTTTTCCTCGTGTAGCAGCCCATGGAAAATGCTCTGACACTCAGATCCGGGCCGGCCGAGGGCAGGGCCGCGGGGGCAGAGGAAGGCGCGGGCACCTGCGGGGCGCTGCCGGCCGCCGTCCACCCCTCCTCCACTGTGCCGCCCCTCGCCGGGCAAACCAACCAGGTGCTCACAAGTCTGGGGGTCCTGGAGCCTTCTCCAGTCCCGACAGAGGGCGTGGGGAGTTGCCCTGGGGACTAGCTGGTGCCCCTCCCTGGAGAAGGCCCTCCAGGCCCACTGTGCAGGCAGCCTAGGGGGCAGACGAGGGCCCATGGGAGCCAGACGCAGGTGCACCAGCCACGCCCCGGCCGTGTCTAGGGATGGGTGAGGATTCTGGGCTAGAGGAAGACCGGAGCGCTGCTGGAGGGAGACGCCCCCTCTTACAGTGGGAAGCCCCCCGAGGCCCACCCCAGGAGGGCGCCCTGCAGGCTGTGGCAGGGCGTGGCCCTGAGCACCCCCAGGAGCCCCCCAGAGTCCCCCGGCTCATGGGAAAAGCAGTGAGGTCACAGCTGGGCCCCCTGGGAACAGGTGCGCCGGGCAGCATGGCTCCAGCACGGCTTCGGTGACCCGCCCCCCCCCCCGGCTGAGAGCAGTGCCCCCCCTGAAGGCCCGTGGCGCAAAGCTGATGGCCTTGGCTTCCAGGGACCCGGGGAGTCTATAAATACCAGTTTGGCCCAGAATATTCTGGGGGGTTCTCTGGGTGTTTGAAAATAGCCCACTTGTTACTATGAATAGCCGGAGGGCAGGCCGTGTGCCTAAGTATGGCAGCCTGGCCAGCCCTGGAGTTTCCAGGCCCGTGAGGCCTGCTCCGGCCTCGCCCACCCTTGCCAGCGCCACGGGCGCGGGGCTCCGCTCCCGCCTGCTCGCTGCATCGCAGGGCCTCGAGTCGGAGTCCTGGGAACACCAAGCACACACGGGCGCCCTGGGGACACCCGCCTGCCACTCAGCGCAGACCTGCGTCGGAACCCCCCTCGGCGTCTGCCTGCACCCACGCAGACTTCCCGTGGCTCCCCAGAGCTGAGATGGCGCGAGGGCAGCACAGAGGCACGGGAATGTCCCCCGGGGCTGGCACAGCCCCCGCCTCCTCGGCCGGCCCGGGGCCAGGGCTCCCTCGTTCACCACTGGTGACGTGACGAGGCAGGCATCTGACCAGCGTGGCCCACGGCCCCGGGCTCCTGCCTGCGCTTCCTAACCGTGGAGGCTCGGCTCCCCCACGCATGCCGGGGACCTGGGGGGGGGTTTAGGGAGTGAGCCGGTAGATGAGAGACAAACCATCAAGACAAATCATGCAGAAGACACGTGCCGGGCCCTCCCAGTGTCTGCAGCACCCGCGGGAGTCACTTCCCGGGCCGCAGGCGCTCTCCCGGCTGGACCACGGGGAACCCGGCCCTAGGCCCAGGCCCACCAGGGACAGGCGCCCTCCTCGCCCTTCTCCCCGATTCCACGGCGGCCGGCTCCCTCATGTCCAGCCCAGGCCCCCGGACCCCACCCGGCCACGGCCACGTCCTGGAGACGAACCCTCAGCTCAGGAATCACAAACCTCGGAGTGGAGCCCCTCCCGCTGTACCCCCCCAGAAGCAGCCAGTGGCCAGGTCCCCCCCCAGCACAGCTGGGATCCAGGACGGGTGGGCCGCTGCCCCCGCACTGCTTCCTAGAGGGGAGGGAGGACCTGCAGAGGGACCAGGACCAGACCCGCCCAAGGCCAAGCCTGCGCTGGCCTCGGGGAACAGTCGGGGCCAGCGATGCCACAGTGGTGCCAGCGCCCCTGCCGCGTGGTGACAGCCATGCCGCCTCCCTCACCCCCCCCCCCCTTTCCCCAGGCCCACCTTGTGCTGTGAGTGACGGGGACAGCCTTGGAGCACAGAACGACAGCCTGTGGCCAGGTCCCTCCCTCTGAGCCCTGCGGCCGCGGTAAACCTCATGCCTGATACCGTGGGACACAGCCCTGCCTGGCCTGCGGAGCCACAGCCCTGACGCAGGAGGGACTCGCTGAGCCCAGAACCACCCGGCAAGCAGGGTCCCGCTTCCCTCCCTGCGGGGCCCTCGCCGACCTCGCACCTTCTGCCCCCGTCCGCTCCTGGAAGCCACGGGCAGCCCTGGTCCAGATGGCCCAGTACAGGCCCTGAGCTCACCCCACAGAGGACCCGGGGCCGCTGCAGACTCCAGACCTTTGAGAAGCAAAGCCAGAGGCGGGGGCTCCCACCTGCTGGTTCACAGCCTAAAAGCCTGCCACGCTCAGGGCTGGCTACAGCTGAAGCTGGGAGCCGGAACCTCAACCCCGGCCTCTCACGCGGGTGGGGGGAGCCCAGGTATGGAGGCCTCACCCCTGTCTGCCACCGCCTTCAGCCCCAGGCCCTGTGCTGTGGGACGCGAGGGTCCTGGCCCCTGGAGCAGACTGCCCCCTGCATCCACGCGCCCACTGGACCTCTCGACAGAGACCCCGGCGCTGGGCAGAGACGAAGGGGCTGCTGCCCCTGTGTAGGGACCACGGGCGGGGGGGGGTACTGGTCCAGGACAAGCAGCCTCCCCTCCCCCTAGCTCTGGGCCCACCGTCTCCTGGTGGGCACGGGTGGTGAGTTAGGGAGGCTCCCGGTGACCACAGAGCACACAGGGCGAGGCAGGGCGGCCAGCCTGGCCTGGGGCCGTGTGTCCACAGCACGGGTCAGAAGCCGAGGTTGTGTCAGGAAAACTCAGCTCAGGCAGCACCGGCCCCGAGAGCTGGAGGCGGGCAGGACCCAGACACGCACGGGCTGGAGATCGGGTGAGCCCGGCGCCTCACGCAAGACAGCAGCCATCACATCACGGAGGAACACGCCGTGCGGCACACACAGCCGTCTGCGCTCTCGGAGACCGGGCCAAGGCCACTACCTGCGGCACTGGCGTCCCATATGGGCGCCAGAGAGATCTGTCTTCCACCTGCTGGTTCATCTCCCCGGACGGCCCCAACAGCCAGGGCTGGGCCACACTGAAGCCAGGAGCTCCTGTCCGGTCCCCCACGTGGGCGCAGGGGCCCGAGCACCTGGGCCATCTTCCACTGCTTTCCCAGGGAGCTGGACCGGAAGTGGAGCAGCCGGACTCGAACCTGCACCCATGTGGGGGCCGGCGCTGCGGGCGGTGGCTTAGCCGTCCGTGCCAGTGCAGCGGCCCAGATCTCGGGGCTGGCGAGAGAGCAGGTGCCGTGCCGGGAGCATGCCGGACGCTGCTGAGCGTCCACTTCACAGGCCAAAGCGCAAATGCCGTGCTGTGGGCATTTTACCACGAGAAAGGGCGCAGAAAGCTGTTCTCTGACCTGGAAACGCCACGCCTCGGATCCCAGCGCCTGACGCCGCCCCCCACCCACCCCCGCGGTCTGATGCTCTCCCTCCACCAAGCCGCAGGACACACAAGGCCAAGAGCAGAGGCTTGGCACAGCAGGCGGTGGGGGGCGTGGTCAGTCAAGGCCGTGGGGAGGAGGCGTGGCCGGGCAGGCCTTGGGGAGGGGGCGTGTGAACTCAGGGCCACACAGAAATTGCCGGGGAGTCGGGCAGAAAGAGGGACAGGCGAGGGCCATGGGGAGCGGCCTGGGGTGATGTCCGCGTAGACAGCAGCCCACCCCCTGGTACCGCGGGCCCAGGCTCCGCAGAGGGGCTGAGCCGGAAGGCGGGGCCCAGGGAGGCACTTGCTCCGGCTGCTTCTCCCCCTCTGCGGGGCTGGAGCCCCTTCCCCCGCTGCTGTGGACCTGCCGCCCACCACAGCCCCCTCCCGAGGGGTCCCTTGGGCCAGGCTGCCCAGCCCCTCCAGGCCGGCTGTCAGATGCTGTCAGATGCCCCGGCTCCCTGGGTGTTTGCTCTGTGAGGACCACCTGGGTGGACCCCCATGCGGGGGGAGTGGGAGCGGGAGTCAGCCGCCCTCCGCCTGGTACAGCCTCGGGGCTCGGGGACAGCACGCTGGCGCCCCCTGGCGGCCCGGCCGCCCCACCTGGACCTCCCCCACCCCGCAGGACCGCAGCGCCCAGTGCCGCCTCCGTGGTCTCCAAGACCCCCGACCCCGGCCCACGCCAGAACTCTTCCCTCGCAGGCCTCGTGGCTCGCACAGAGCCTGACAGGACCCCGAGAGCTCCCGCCGGGGTGGGGCCCAGTCCCGCGCCTCTACTGTCAGCACCGCGGGGAGCCCCAGGGACACCGGGGGCCTCCGTCTGCGCGCGTGGGCGCTGGGAGTCCAGGGTCTCGGCACGCGGCGCGGTGCCTGATGAGTGTCCCTCGCTCCCTCGAGAGCCAGAGAGGCCCCGTGCCCAGGTCCACTCCCCAGGCTGCCCGCAGAGCTGGAGCGGGGAGCTCACTCTGGGCCCCCACGTGGGCGACAGGGGCCCAGGGTCACCTCAGCAGGACCCGGGCGCTCCCCACGGACCCCAGCGTCCCAAATGGGCGAGGCTCGGGGCACCTGCAGCCGTGTCCACCCCCGGGCGGCTCAGGGAGTGAGCGCTTCGGAAGTCAGCTCCTCGTGGGCGCCGGTTCGAGTCCCCGCTGCTCCACTTCCGATCCAGCTCTCTGCTATGGCTGGGAAAGCAGTGGAGGATGGGCCAAGTGCTTGGGTGCCTGCACCCACATGGGAGACCGGGAAGAAGCTCCTGGCTCCCGACTTCGGATCAGCGCAGCTCCGGCCGTTGCGGCCATCTGGGGAGTGAACCAGCGGATGGAAGACCTCTCTCTCTCTCTCTCTCTCTCTCCCTCTGGCTCTACCTCTCTCTAATTCTGTGTTTCAAATAAATCTTAAAAAAAATAATAATAATTAAGTACGCGGACACCCCGCCCCCACGGCGCCCGGCCCCGCCCTGACCCCCGGAGCTCGCCCCCGCCGCCCCATGCGCGCGCACGAGCAGACACCACCGGGACGCGGGCACCGACCGCGGCGGCCTCGACCCACGCGAGAACCCGCGCCTCGCCCGTGCCTCCTCCGGGGTCTCTCCCGGAGACCCCGGCCCCCGGCACGCGCTGACACCGGGCCGCGCTGACCCCTCGGAAGGCCGCCGCCCGGCGCCTGCGCAGACCCCGCCCGTGTACGCTGGGCGCCTGCGCAGACGCCCTCCGGATACAGAGGGCGGGCTCAGCAGCGACGGCCCATCGTCCGATCCCGCCCATTGGTTGAGAGTTGAAGCGTGGCCCTGCCCGTCGCTGATTGGGCCCCGCGCCGACAGCGGGCCTGCGCGGGCCAATCGCATAGCAGCGCGTGAGGCGGCCGAGCCCCCTGAGGCGTGGATCTGCCACAGCCGGCCGGCGTGGGTCTGGGGGCGCATGGGCTGCGTGGCCATGGCTTCGGGGAGGCCGCTGGCGGCCGTCACTTGTACGGCTCCGGTCAACATCGCGGTCATCAAGTACTGTGAGTGGCGCGCGGTGCCGGGAGCGGGCGTCCGTGCAGGGTTTCCTTCTGCTGCGGGGCGCTGAGACCCTCGCTGCGACCCGCTCCCGTCGGCGGCTCGTGCCCCGAGCCCTCTCGTGCGTGTCCCCGCGGGTGGGCGGCGGCCCGGGGCTTCGCGAGTCCGCTTCCAGGCCGCTCCCGCGCGGCGCGGGGTCCGCCCCCTGGCCGGGCAGCGCGACCCCTGCGTGGGTCCCAGTGGACAGGTGCCTGGGGGCGGCGGGCGGCGTCGCGTGCTTGGCGTGTGGACCGCGCCGGCCCGGGACCCGTGCGGGCGCCGGGGCCCCGCAGCAGGCAGTGCGGGCGGGAGCGAGGCGGGCGGCGCGGGGACGGGGCGGGGGCGGGGGCCGTGAAGGGAAGCTCTCCCCGGCCGGGCTGCCTGCCCCTGCCGGCCGTCGGAGCCCCCCGCCCGCCCCAGGCCTCGCCGGGAGAGCTCCCCGCGGGCAGTGGCCCAGCCCGAGGAGGGGGCCGGGACGCCCACTGGCCGGCCCTCGGCGTCTGTTCCAGGGGGCAAGCGGGATGAGGAGCTGGTGCTGCCCATCAACTCGTCCCTGAGCGTCACCCTGCACCAGGAGCAGGTGGGTCTGCCGGCCCCAGGCCGGGGGGGGGGGGGGGGGGCAAGCCCCAGCCAGTGCCAGCGCACACGGCCCCGCCCGCAGCTCTGCCCCGCGCCGCCCGCCCTGCTCCCGAGCCCCAGCGGCGCCAAGGGTGCGTGGCCCTGAGGTGGCCCTGTGCCGTCTTCCAGCTAAGAACCACCACCACCGCCGCCGTCAGCCCGGACTTCACCGAGGACCGCATCTGGCTGAACGGCCGGGAGGAGGACGTGGGGCAGCCGCGCCTGCAGGCCTGCCTGCGGGAGAGTGAGTCGGGGACCCCCGGGGACGGTGCCCCCAGGCCTGCCCGCGGGAGAGTCGGGGACCCCCCACCCCCCATGCCCCCACCCCCACTGTGCCCCCACCGTGCCCCAGGCCTGCCTGAGGGAGAGTGAGTCGGGGACCCCCGGGGACGGTGCCCCCAGACCTGCCTGCGGGAGAGTGAGTCGGGGACCCCCGGGGACCATACCCCAGTGCCCGAGACACGTCCCCTATCGCTGGTTCGGGGCTGGGCTCCGGGGCTTTCTGGGAACGGTCAGCCGTGGCAGGTGCGGGCCCGCACACACCTGACCCAGCCCCGCCTCTCGCCCGCAGTCCGCCGCCTGGCCCGGGAGCGGAGGAGCGCACAGGATGGAGACGTGCCGGCCCCGAGCCCCAGCTGGAAGGTGCACATCGCCTCGGTGAACAACTTCCCCACCGCCGCGGGCCTGGCCTCCTCCGCCGCCGGCTACGCCTGCCTAGGTGGGTGCTGTGCCGGGAGCGGGCTCCTGGGCAGGGCCTCGCCAATTGGCACACAGGGAGCCCAGCGCCGGCCCCCGCTGTGTCGTCCCGGCCCCAACGCGGGCCATCTGGGGGCCGCCACACACCGCTTCGTGGCACAGGGAGCTGGCCTCAGGCCCAGCGTCGCCCGGAGTCCACCCCTGTCCATCTCAGTCTCGGCTCCCCACAGCCCGGCGGGTTCACGCCCTCTTGGGCCATGTCCTAGCCCTGAGCCCCGTGCCCCGTGCCCCGGCGTGGCCCTGCTCCCCCACCCAGGTCCCCCAGGTCGCTGGCCGCTGGCTGTTCAGGTGCCAGGGGGTGGGTTCCTCTTGGTCAGTGAGCGTGTGGGCCTGCGGGCTGTGACGTGCCCAGGGTGTGGACGGGAGGCCAGCCATGCTGCCCGTGGGGGCCATCTCAGAGCCCCGGGGTGGGGGAGCCCAGCCTGGCTGCCTTCCTGGCCCCTGCACCCCGGGCCTGCCTCAGTCCCCTGCCCGTCCCCTGTCTCTGCAGCCTACACCCTGGCCCGGGTCTACAGGGTGGACAGCGACCTCTCGGAGGTGGCCCGCAGGGGCTCGGGCAGCGCCTGCCGGAGCCTGCATGGGGGCTTCGTGGAGTGGCAGATGGGGGTGCAGGCTGACGGCACAGACAGTGTGGCCCGGCCCGTGGCACCCGAGTCGCACTGGCCGGAACTCCGCGTCCTCATCCTGGTGGTGAGTGGGTGCGGAGGCTACTGGGCAGCAGGACCGGCAGCCAGGCTGCTGAGCCCCCCCGTGGCCCCCGCTGAGCCATCCCAGACCCTCGTCCCTGTCCCATGACCCCCGCGGGGAGGGCTGGGGGCTGCGTCGTGGGGCCCAGCACCTGCCGCTCTGGTGCAGGTGAACGCGGAGAGGAAGCTGACGGGCAGCACGGTGGGCATGCAGACCAGCGTGGAGACCAGCGCCCTGCTCAAGGCAGGCGGGCGGGGCGGGGCTGCGGGGGCGGGGCCGGGGTTGTGAGGGGGCGGGGCTGGGGTTGTGGGGGCGGGGCTGCGGGGGGCAGGGCTGAGCGGGGGCGGGGCTGGGGTTGTGAGGGGCTGAGTGGGTGGGGCTTCGTGGGGGCGGAGCTGGGGTTGTGAGGGGGCTGTGGGGCGGGGCTGGGGTTGAGGGCGGGGCTGAGTGGGGGCGGGGCTGCGGCGGGGGGGCAGGGTTGTGAGGGGCTGAGTGGGCGGGGCTGAGTGGGGGCGGGGCTGGCCCGAGCCTCAGGCTGACAGCGGCCGTGCCCTGCAGTTCCGGGCCGAGGCGGTGGTGCCGGCGCGCATGCGGGAGATGACCCGGTGCATCCAGGAGCGGGACTTCCAGGGCTTCGGCCAGCTGACCATGAGGGACAGCAACCAGTTTCACGCCACCTGCCTGGACACCTTCCCGCCCGTCTTCTACCTCAACGACACCTCCAGGCGCATCATCCACCTGGTGCACCGCTTCAACGCCCACCACGGGCAGACCAAGGTGGGGGGGGCAGTGGGCGTGGCCGGGCAGACCCAGGTGCGGGGGGGCAGTGGGCGTGGCCGGGCAGACCCAGGTGCGGGGGGGGCAGTGGGCGTGGCCGGGCAGACCCAGGTGCGGGGGGCGTGGCCGCGGCAGATCCAGGTGCCGGGAGGGGCGTGGCCGCGGCAGACCCAGGTGTCGGAGGGGCGTGGCCGCGGCAGACCCAGGTGCGGGGGGGCGTGGCCGCGGCAGACCCAGGTGCCGGGAGGGGTGTGGCCGCGGCAGACCCAGGTGTCGGAGGGGCGTGGCCGCGGCAGACCCTGGTGCCGGGAGGGGCGTGGCCGGGCAGACCCAGGTGCGGGGGGCGTGGCCGGGCAGACCCAGGTGCGGGGGGCGTGGCCGGGCAGACCCAGGTGCGGGGGGGCAGTGGGCGTGGCCGGGCAGACCCAGGTGCGGGGGGCGTGGCCGGGCAGACCCTGGTGCCGGGAGGGGCGTGGCCGCGGCAGACCCAGGTGTCGGAGGGGCGTGGCCGCGGCAGACCCAGGTGCGGGGGGGCGTGGCCGCGGCAGACCCAGGTGCCGGGAGGGGTGTGGCCGCGGCAGACCCAGGTGTCGGGGGGGCGTGGCCGCGGCAGACCCTGGTGCCGGGAGGGGCGTGGCCGGGCAGACCCAGGTGCGGGGGGCGTGGCCGGGCAGACCCAGGTGCGGGGGGCGTGGCCGGGCAGACCCAGGTGCGGGGGGGCAGTGGGCGTGGCCGGGCAGACCCAGGTGCGGGGGGCGTGGCCGGGCAGACCCTGGTGCCGGGAGGGGCGTGGCCGCGGCAGACCCAGGTGCGGGGGGCGTGGCTGCGGCGACCCTTCGGGCCCACCAGAGGCCCTTCTCAGGGAGAGCAGGCTGAGCCCTGCGGGGCCGTGTGAGTAACCCGGTGACCCCGTGGCTCGCAGGTGGCGTACACGTTTGATGCTGGCCCCAACGCCGTGGTCTTCACACTGGAGGACACCGTGGCCGAGTTTGTGGCTGCCGTGAGGCACAGCTTCCCCCCCGAGTCAAATGGCGACAAGTGAGTGGACCCCAGT